AGTGAATTACACTCATCCCCATAATAAGAGTCGACATGTAACACTAAAGCTGTCACACGTCGGCTCTATTGATCAGAGACTGAGCAATCACATACCACTGATCACTCAGTTCCCGATATTCTCCCTGCAGAGAGCGAGGACTGTCAATTGTCACTCCCCACAGGGATTCAACCCTCCAGTGCTGACTGGAGGAACAAACAGGGGAGGGGGCAGGCACAGCTGGCTCTGCCCCTAGAGAGGCAGAGCCAGCTGTCAGTCATACAAGCGGGGTGGATCCCAACAATATTGTCGGGATCCATCCCAGCTACAGCGCGGCTCTGCGCTGTCAGCATATAGCAGGCAATAGTCCACTATATGCTGAGTTTTGGGTCACAGAAGGACATTATTATATATCCTCCTGTGACCCTAAAGTGAACTATGGGAAAAAAGGGTTGGGCCATAGTTCTCTTTTTACTTGCTATCACAAGGGAGCTAACAATCCCCTATCTGATAGCATTGGCAAGTGACAGGTCCTCTTTATAGAGTAGAGGTCTAATAGACCCCTAATGTCCCCCCCTGCCCTCTGCTAGGGCCGATCAAGCACAGATCTTTTGCCAGCTGTTTGCCTGGCCATGCTGGCCAGAATGTGACAGCTGTGAATTTTGAAATGCTTATAGCATAGCGCTGCCGCAGCCATCTTGGTATGACCACTTAAGGTCCAGTATGTATAGGGACATCCTGTGGTCCTTCAGTGGTTAAAGATTTCAGCAAAGCTGCATAAAGCTTACTGAAATATTTATAAATGCTTTGTAAAAGCTTGCTGTACACACGTCTTATAATTAAACTGAAGCCAGTGTGTAGTTGGCCTAAAAGTGCTCTACCTAATTATTTTAGTTCCATCTAGCACTAAAACGCAAGCTAATGCTTTAAAGGAAACCTCATTGGAGTAACATGTAGCTCAGGGGTAGCCAAACTTCAGCCCTCAAGCTGTTGTGGAATTGCAAGTCCCATAAGGCATTGCAAGACTCTGACAGGCACATGCATGACTTCCAGAGGCAGAGGCATTTGTAGGATTTGTAGTTTTACCATAGTTGGAGGGCTGAAGTCTGGCTGCCTCTGATGTAGGTTATGTCATGACAATGTGAACTACACCTTTCTCCGGGCAGACCAACTCCTTTTAATGCTTAATCAATGCTTTATCTTGGTTCTATCTCTGCTGTTTGTTCAGTTCAGAGGTCATATGTAGGCTTTGAACACCTCTCTCTTAGTATGTTAATATGCTCCTACACATCCTGCACAATGGTAAGATACTACAGCTGAACAGTGAAGCTCTTTAGTCCTGCCTTGTGTTCTTCTTTCTCATTTGATTGACAGCTGCATTTGGCATAACAGTACCAACAAGTGGCTGGTAAAAGGGCAGAGTAGAAGAACACTTAGGCCTGGTTCACACCTGGGCGTTTTACAGCGCGTTCCTACGCGCTATAAAACGCTCAACATGTGAAAACCAATGATTGCCTATAGGCATGGTTCCCACCTGTGCGTTTTACAGCTCGTAGGAATGCGCTGCAAAATGCCCTATGCCCAAAGAAGTACAGGAGCTTCTTTGGGGCGTATTTGCCGCGCATATCCATTAGAATACAGCCGGGTAGCCTTCGGAAATCGCGGTAAAAACGCGCGGCACACTCGCATATTCGATACGCCTAGGTGTGAACCCAGCCTTAGGATGGGAATAGAACTGCCCTATTGCAGTCCAAATTCCCCCCCAAAAATAGTTCCTACAGAGAACTTAATGTGACAGAATGATTACATCACTTTCCCCAGATAGCATCCCTTCATCACCTCCCACTAAAGCCCCGTTCACATTGAGCGATTTATCGCGCGGTAATTCCCGCGATATCGCGGCAAATTACTGCGCGATATCGCGCTCCAATGCATTTCAATGGGGCAAAGGGTCCTGCTGTCGCGGGTCGTGTGTCGCTACAGCAGGACCCTTTTTGGAGCGGATTTAGCCGCGATTCAAGCTTGCTCAATGCAAGCTTGAACGCGATGTCGCGCAATATGCAAATCACGTGACAAACGCGCGATTTGCATATCGCGCAGTGGGAACGGGGCCTAATGCTGTAGAACGGACTAGGCAAGATGGCATATGGATAATATGAAATATAAATGAAGCAAAAGATAACACAGATTTGAATAAATACATGCACAACTTGCAATTTCAGAGTGTTTGTATTAAAAAAAAAGATACTTTAGTTCTGATTTGAAATGATCCATTAACATTCATATCATTATTTACTGTAGTAGAAAAACTATAAATTGGAATTCTAGAGGACTGAAAATAACTGCAGATGCTTTGAATCTAAACTGCAGTCTGACAGGTGTAGGCAGTTAATCTAAGTAGATTAAGCTATTTCTTCAGTAATTCATTCCACTGTAATACACATCAACAGCAGGTTTCATTAACCCACTATGAACATTTTTCAGCATTAAATGCAAGCCTCAACCAAATACTATAAATTGGATACTGATATATTGTGATTACGGTAGACTCATTATATATTACTTAATGTTAAATAGATCTCTTAACCCTAATTCCTTTGTGTGTATTTTAGTACACACATTCCTTGGAATTCATAAAGAGTGTCTACGATACGCTTTAGAATTCCCATGTGCATCCGCACGAAAAATGTCGATGCAGAGGCGCACTAAGACTGGAGTGTCCATCCAGTCAATCCGTTCTCAGTGCAGTAAGTAACAGTGAGCCTAATAAAATCACTCGGTCAGTGTTACTGAATACTCTGCCTGGCCACTGTACCTGTCACACAGGCAGGCACAGTTGCCGAGGACTTATGCTGTGGATAGGCCGAGCCTAATGGTGAACTATGAGAGACCTGTTCCCCATCATGCCTGCCTCTTTTGTGATTGACAGCAGGCAGTTGACAGATTCCATAGCCAAGTCAACAGCATCCTTAACAATCGGTGACACTGACTTTGGAGGGAGCCTGATGGGGATGCAGAGGAACTAGTGCCCTATCATGACTGCTCTGCTACTGAATAACAGCAGGCAGTGGGTAGATTCCATAACCAATAGCAGGATGTCTATTGGCTATGGAATCTGCCTACTGCCTGCTGTAAATCACAAGGGAGGTGGACCTGAGGAAGAACTAGTCTTTCAGAGTTCCTGATCAGGTCCATTGTCTCTGTCATTGCTTTCTTAAAGGCTGTCGGCTATGCAGTTGGCAGTGTCTTAGCATCCAGTGACTTATCCCTGACCCCAATCAGCTGCCACCCAGGAGTCCTAGCAACCAAAAATTGGGGACACATTCATGACAGCTTCCCAACACATACATCACCCACTCTTAGCACTGGCATCTCTCTGAATGCCAAATCAAAGTTGATCCTAATTACATTGAGTTTCTTAATCTGTAAATTGGTGGTAATTATTTATGAATCTGTCACAGCTATAGCAACAGGTTCTTAAAGTGTCGGTAATAGCTACCGGAATTGTAACTCACATCTCAGGACAGCAACCGAAACTGTTTTAATGCTTTGATGTGCCTGCGTTCCTGTGCGACCGATGGCATTTCGGCCGTAGGGTGTGGCTATGGTGCCATTCAGTTCAATGGAGCGCCGCGCCCCCTCCTCCTCCACAACATAGTGAGCTGACCGCAATGCGATGTAGTGCCTTCTGGCCAGAATCAGGCCAGAACGCACTGTGTCTGGTGTAAACGAGGCCTAAGACATTGAGAATCAAGGAGTAAAACAAACTGAATGTAAACTAGTGCTGAAACATAATTCTTTATTACGTGGTCTAAATATACTGGAGCTTTATGTCTCATCTCATTTGCTCTGATCAAAAGGTCTTTCATGTGTTTGCTGGATTACTAAGTGTAATAAATAATTTAATGCTGCATTTATCTTTTAGCGTTTGTCCTTTGGTGTATGTATATATTACCTGTATATTAATGTTTTAAGTGTTTGCGTGACATCATGTCTGATGAAAAGAAATACAGATTCTACAAAGCATGCACTGAATTATATAGTTAGCTCATAAAAATATGTTTATTTGGACTTTTCTGCTAACATCTAGGGCTAACAATGGTACAACACATCACAGCTAGAAATCCTATATAGAATACTTGATGCACATTTTGCTGTGGGTGCCTTATCAGTATGAAATGAAGCAGCATTGCCACAATTTGGCTTAATAACCAGTGGCCGGGAAACTGATTACATTTATTTTTTGGGAAGTTTGATAGTCTTTTTTTTCATTTCTTGCTCTGAGCAAACTTCATTCTTCCATGCCTTGTCTGTGTGAGTTAGTGTCAAATAATTCTTGCCTGCTACATTTTAACCAAACTTATGTTGTATGAAATAAAAAAAACCTGCTTTGGGAATCAAGGTATGCAAGTAGAGAAAATAAGCTTCAGGAAGTGGCTGCTTTGTAATCTGATTACATGTGACACTTCTCAAATCATTCTGTATGAGCACATAGACCTGTAGAAGTACATTTGTAACAAGGAAAAAGAATTAGCTCAGGATTTGGAAATTTAAGAGATTTTAGAATAATATTAGTGATACTTAATTAGTATCATATTAGTGATACTTATGTAAGGTATAACTGTGGCCAGGCTGTATAATATTTACATATTTCTATCAAGTGGTAAATGAGCTTGATAAGAATTATTCACTATTAGTCACCTACAGTGACTAATGGGTATTGTATATTCCAAAGTCTGACAGGGTTATTCACAAAATGGTGAAGAGTTTGCAGAAGGCTGGAGAAATGAACAATTTAGGACAACATAGCTGATTCAGCTCACTTTCCAGTTCAGCTATGTTGTCCTAGATTGTTCACTTCTTCTGCCTTCTCCAAACTCTTCTCCCTTTTGTGAATAACCCTTTAAATCTTCCAGTGTTCAGCGTTCAGTGTCATGTATTTTATCAATTTCTTCAGTTTAAATATGCGCTACATATACATTTGCTTTTTACTAACTATACATAATATTTTCTATGTTTAGATGGCCACGATGCAGTGTTGCGATTTAATTCGGCACCAACACACAATTATGAAAAAGATGTCGGAAATAAAACCACCATGCGTATTATAAATTCTCAGGTAAGACACTGATAATGTATCTTTTAATGCATGTCAATGTGTATTTTCCATTCCTGTGTCATACATAGTGGGGGAGAAACATTTAAGAATATAGACTTTTCTTATTTTAGATGTGGTAAAACTAAAGATGCACCGAAATTTCATCCGCTGAACAATTGTGGCCAAAAATGGTACTATGGGCAAAATGCCAGTGGTACCAAAGAGTCGAAAATGCTCTACATCACTTCCTGTTCATTCATGATTGTGGACATAGTAACTGATACTATCTCCTCAGTTTATGAATGGACCAGAGCACTCAGTATAGAGGCTTCCTGTTCATTCATAACAGGGGCTGCAGAAAAAGAGATTCTGTTCTCAATCTTCTTTCTATTTTAAAAGGGAAATATCTGGGAAAGGAAGACAAAATAAAACGATAAAAAGAAAATAATTAAAAAATAATATAATTTTTTTTTAAAGTTTGGAAAAAGAGTCCTTTCCGGTTTTGGCCTGACAAATTATATCATTTTGATTTTGGTCTAAAAATGTATTGGTGCATCCCTAGTTAAAACCCCATGTTACACGTGTGTTAGTGCATTTGCCACTCATTTTTAAGGGCCTGCATAAGCCCAGCTTTGGGGTTAGCCCCCCCACGCCCCACACACACACCTTTGAGTGCTCCTTCACAATCCTGTGGTATGTTTTGCTTTTTTTTTTTTAAATACTTACCTTTTTACAAAGTCTTCAGGCAGATCATATGATGCAGTGTCCTCCCAGCATTGGGTTGTTCTTGGGGATGCAGAGATCGGCACTGACAGTAATGATGTCAGCAGCACTCTCTATATCTTTATACTGTCAAAAAAGAGCACCATAGTGACAATCCCTCAGTGGGCAGGTTCATGACACCCAGCACTCACAGTATCTCCTCAGTCTTCTGGATTGCGGTCAAAAAGAAGTATGGTGGGGGACAACTCAGCATTGAAAGTATTGCAGTTTAAGCTGCTTTTTAAAATGCATGCTGGGGCGTACAGCCGGCTACACTGTTCTGTGCTCAGCACAATTACCAAGCTATTACTGGCTCCCAGTCACTGTTTACAAAAAAGAGCCAGTGAAACGTGCTCCCGATCATGTGACTATTGTGACAGTCAGTCCCGGCATTCAGAACCTCTTAAAGGGACAGTGACAATGGGTTAATGAACAAAACTGCATCACCCAGACATAAACTAGCCACATAGCAACGAATGTGATTTGTACTTAAAATGTATTTTAATGTTATAAACCTCATATATCTTACTTCATGAAAGTCTGAACAAATAAGGGAAAATGTTTTGAAAACACTTCACTGTTGAACATACTGCTTAAAAAAAAGTAAATTACTTTCCAAGTTGCAAAGCAATAATTTGTAGCAACTCTGGGTCTCTTACTTATTAGGAGAGAAATTACTTTTGATCTGAAACAGTGCAGTGAATGTAAATTGTATCTGGTAATTGAAAACCACAGTGAGGATTAAAATGTAATTTAAAAATGCAAATATAACCACCTGCAAAAAAAGTAATTTTTTAATGTTTTGTTATAATTAGTTTTTTAATATAAACCACTGATGGTAATTTTATGTGACATACTGTATATATTATTTTTGTATTGGTATATTGGGGGGGGTCATTTGCATGTTTTTTAATAATTACCAAACAAGGGAATGTGTCGTTTAAAACACCTTGCCTGTACAAAATACAGGCAGTGTCTGCAAAACTTGCATAATTTTCTGAATGATTTTCATTACACACACTAGGTAAATAGTTACAAAAATGCATGTATTAAAAGCACACAAATTTCATAGTTTTGGGATTGGATGGTTTTACAAGATGTTTCTATGCAAATATCTATTTAAAAGTCACAAATAAGGAATGTCAGATATATATCATGTTGAAACTACAGTGACATCCAGTGGTGTACCTATGTCATTTAAATACAAAGCAATGTTGGCAACATGTAGGTGAACTTTGACTCTGAAAATATAAAGTCCCCAACTAGTATTTTGTTAATGCTCCCTTAAGTAGGAGAAATACATCCATGATGTATAAAGAGCCTTTACATAGGGCAGAAATATAAATATTATTAAAGGGTCTCTACAAATTATTTCATTTTGGTGAATATATTTTAGAACCAATAAATTGGCATCTTGTAATTGGGGATCTAAAATGTTATTGCATTACATGTTTTGCTTAGTTTAAGTTATCATTTCTACTGCCACAGTGTGTATACCATTTACAACTGTGATGATTTAAAAGTTTACAATTAGAGGTAAGGATTAGGTTGGGGTAAGGTTTAAGTTTAGGGGTCAGGTTAAGATTCAGGGATTACATTAGATTGTGGGTAAACCCCTAACAATTAACTTATCTTGTTTTCATCCCTGTTTAATGTATGGTTGGAAGCATTTTATTATAGTTACATAGTATTTGGGGTTGAATAAAGACATATGTCCATCAAGTCCAACCCATATCGGTCCACGCATCATCTCATTCTTAGGGATACTGGTATCCCTGGATATTACGGTCCCTCAAGAAATTGTCCAAACGTTTCTTGAACAAATCTACACTCTTGGCTGAAATCACTGCCGATGGCAGTGAGTTCCAGACCTTAACCACTCTTACTGTAAAGAACCCTCTTCGCCCATTGTGCTGGAATTTTTTCTCCACCAACTTTAGGTGGTGGCCTCTAGTCTTTGTAATGGAGTTAATCTCAAACAGTTTGTTGCCAATGTTGCTGTCACCATGGAACATCTTGTACATGAAAATCATATCCCACTAGAAGGCTCTACTGCACGTGGGCCACCCGCGGCATTTCCCTACACACATACTACAGAGCAATAAAGTATTAAACTGAACTAGAGTCAGACTAATCCAGCACGTTATTAATCAGCAGTGGCCATATTGAGTGAGGCAATTTAGATGAATAATGTCCTGGATTAGTCTGACCCTAATTCAGTTTAATATTTATTAAAATCTTTAGTAGGTGTATTTTTGAAATGCCGCGTGTGGCCCACGTGCAGTACAGCCTTCTCGGCCAAGCGTTTTTTTCTTCCTTAGCAGGGGGGGCGGCGACATTAATTTGCATATGAATTAGCCGCGATATTTATATATGAATGGGCCGTGGCTTATTGATATGCAAATCAAAGCGGCCCATTCATATGTAAATATCGCAGCCGTGGCAGGGGGCAGGAACAGCGCCGGCAGCACCGGAGAGAGCACAGAGTAGAGACTAGAGAGAGCTGGGTGAGGAAGTGTTTTTTTTTGGCCTCCCCCACCAGCTCCCTCTAGTGTCTACTGTGTAGTAGTGCCGGCTCTGCTAAGAGCCGGCCATCAGGCATAGCAAACCGGCCCGAACACAATCATTACCTTGATATACATTTTAATGCTAAAGCAAACATGTAGTGATTATGGTATGTCTTGTGCAAGTGCCTGCACATTGGTGTTATTCTATTTGTCTCTTCACTGTGACTGGTACCCTCACCAACAATAAGGCATGGGACATACCAACCACACCAACCATGGATGATATTTACAAGCAATGTTTAATAATATACAACCATACCTCATGAACAACATGAACTTCCAGTCATTCCCTTAAAGATAAAACAGTGCAGCAGCAAACTATCACTCCAAAATGTAGAATAGCCAGGGTCCATCCCAGCCTTTTTACTGCCAGGGTCAATGTGTGAACTAGCACTTCCTCCATACAGTACTGCCTACTTGCCACTCCAATCAGTCCACCATTTCACTGATGGAGGCACTGCCCACTAATATTGAATGATACAGGCAGAGTGTGGGCAGGCCAAACACACGCACTGCCTGACAGAGCCTGCAGGTCAATGTCAGCACTAGTGACGTACCTAGCATATCTAGTACCAAGGGTGGATTTTTTTTTTTTTTTACGCACACACCTCACCATACATCAATGTCAGGGCTTAGTTTGTTAGACAATAGGTGCAAGCACTGCCTCCCTTCCCTAGGCTCGGAGATTAGTAAAACAGAGGAATGGAGGGTGTGGCCAAATAGCACTAGCAGTTGGAGAGTCCTACAGGGCATAATAAAACAGACATGTACAACACTTAGCACAATCATTTTTAAAACCTGATTACATAACTTTTTAGTCTACATTAAAGAATAATTTCGTAAAATAGTAACAGCAACTGTTGAGACATTAAACACTTTGGTCAGAAGTATTGGTGGTCCATGGCTTGCTGTTAAAAAAATTACAGGTTCACAGAGCAAATTTTGCAAAAGAGCCCTTTTAATTAAGCGTAAAATGGTGACAAAGGCCTTAAATGAGAACTATGGGGTTAGGGCTTTTCCCCATAGTTCTCCTTAGGGTAACGGGAGGACACCCTCTTCAGGTATATCAAAAATTTATATAAATAAGTTTATGAACAAAGTTAATCGATCCTAAAGGGTAGGATCACCATGAGGAGATTTCCTTTTTTAATTATATAAAAACACAACTGACGGAACACTGCTGAAAGAGATGTCTCGGATGTGGACCCTCTGATGTATTATCTCTGCATTATTATCTCAGCTGTGGGGTGAGTGCGCACCCCTAAGGGGACAGTTTGGAGACATTGATACACGCTGGTGTGGGGATAAGCCATCTAGTAATCTACCATCTTGAAACAAGTGTTGAAGATTTCACTGGATTCACTTTTTTAATTTATCACCGATCACATTTTTTGTTTTTGTATAAAGAATGAATCACCAGTTGGGATTGTTTTAAGTTGTATTGTCCACGGGCAACATAACCGTACACAAAAGTTTAGATATTATTTGATGCACAGTCTTTCTTTTCACCAGGAGGATATAAGAATATAACAATTGTTTATGTTGTGGCATTTCACAAATATTTTTTCACCGCCATTGGAACACAATAGACTATTTTGTCACTATATATATCAAATCTGCATATTCACTCCACGGAATTCCCTACCCTTTAGGATCGATTAACTTTGTTCATAAACTTATTTATATAAATTT